TAAGCCCTGCTTTCCTGACCTGACACTAATAGTCTAATAAAAGGGTTTATTATATGTTACAAGTTATTTACAGAACAGGTGACGGAGGTAATTTAAAAACTGAAGAATGGGTCATCAAGCTAAAATAATGTTTTTTATTTAGGTTCCGGTCAAAAAAATTTTTAAAGGTCTGGCCATGCACCAATACCACTTAATGTAGTAGTTTTGGTGCACAGATCATGCCCTTGTAGTCTGTCTCATTGCTCAATTTTCTTCCTTTCACTAATGTATTTACTTTATTTCTGCATCCTTACTTAGTGCCCCCTATTTGTCACACAATAAATATTTATCCATTTGGATTCTTACATTCACAATCATCAGATTGTTTACTTTAGAAATCTTAGTAATAAATCATTACTCCCTGCCAGCAGCCTCCTGTGTGAGATATTCTCACACTAAGACTGAGGGAAAATCCTGCACTTAAAACCCTTTATAGCTCAACATTATTGAACACACAATATATATCCCTCAGTTTTAGTGTGAGATATATATATATATATCCATCCATAATTATATAATTTATAAAAGAGCAATTATTTATTTACATAGTTCAGCTTTTCCCGTTATTAAAGGTTACTCCAATATAGCCCGCTTTAGTGGTTATGATGCAAGGAGTACCCTGCCCTAGTTTCCCAATAATTAGGAAAGCCCTTTAGCAACAGTTTGCTTTCCTACCGTGGTCCCCTACGAGCTCCAAGGCTCCTTGGTGGTCTGGTGACACACTTCTGTAGAGGTGCAGAAGCCACTGCTGTTGCCATTCATTGCCAATGACTGACAAAACCTCCGACAGCAGAGGGGTTCAACTTCGCATGTGCAGTATTTCATATCAAAACGCTGCACATGAAGACTCCAGGCAGCATGACCACTTCAAATCAGTGATGTGGTCATGGTTATTAGAGTAAACCTTTAAAAAAAAAAAAAAAAAAAAAAATCTAACATTAAATAACTGGTTTATGGCAAACACGTGTTTGGGGTAAATTCACTAATTAGCTGAATGTAAGTGTTCCTAACACGTTACATACTTCCTGTATCCACAATATGACTATGAGAAGCATTGGCAAGCACGTTTGAGCACATTTTAAGCATATTTTCAATTTATTTTTACTGATCAAACGGCTAGTGCAACGTACAAGTAAACTATCAGCAAATTTAAAAATGATTGTCATGTTTTTTATGATTATGTCCCTTTTAAAATAAAATAGATTTCAGCTCTATCCCTTAAAATTAAGTGCTAGAGAGGTACATATCAGCATTCTTACAGAGGTGTGAGCACCAGAATTTGAAGTGCAAGTTTTATGGCAGAACAAAAAGTGAAAGACAGGATTTACTGGCTCGTTGCGTTTACAAAGACACGAATAAGACACGGCAGACGGGTAGAGGTTCCTGCACTGAAACATTTATTTTACAGGTAGTGGTTCAGATAGTTTAACTTCCTTCTGGTTTTGTTTCACATTAGGTAATATTCAGACATACATAATGACATGCTACAAACAAAACATGATTCTCTTTTCTGCAAAATGTTCAGAGGGACCTCCTTGTTACCCCAATCCCCCTTCCCAGCCCCCGATAACAGAACAGATGTGCAGGCGTCGACCCCTCCTTCATATTCTCTAACACGGGGAATGCGCCCTACGAATACACCCTTTTACAGATCACTCACCGCTTCTAAGATAAGAACCCACTGTCAGATCATAACGGATTTCAATCACGTAGATCAGAAAAGGAACAAAAATCACTGACACTAAAGGGATAAATTACCCGTTACCCCCACAAACATTGGCATAAACCCTTTAAGAGATGCTTAGTGACTGCAGCCATTTGGACGTTTTATGTTCAGTGTTGCAACCTTCTACTGTATGCAGATAAAATCATTTACTAAGATTAGTAGGAGAAATTACAATGCCTTTTAAGCAGATATTTGAGGAAGCAGTAAACGTGACTATAAAGAAAGTGGTTTCTAGGCATCTGCTGATGTAGTTGCCCAATCTCAAATTTACCCATCAGTTTACAAGAAAAGTTCAGAAAAGTGGCTCTCCTGAATTCTGCTAAAAAAAGCAAAATAGCAGTTCAGCAGCTACATTGTAAGAAATATATGGGAAGATACAGTTCCGCTATACATAATTAACCCTTTAAGGAGGAACTGTCACTTTTCTGGAGGTGTCTGTTATTCATTTTCTTATCCTCGAATGTCCTACTGAAGGGTTTACTGGGTTGAGGAGTACAGTGGAGGGAAGTCAAAAAACAAACTCACGGTACATCCACAGCAAAGCAAAGTCACCAGCCTATGACACGCCAGGAATTTGCATTGTACACTCAGGCTGTGCCAGGACAGTATGGCATGCAATGCATAAATTAAAAATAAACACGGCAGAATCAATTTATTTAAAAAAAAATAAATAAATAAACTTTGTTAATTTATAATTGCCTGGTTGTGCAAACAGACAGACAAATGACAGTTCCACTTTAAAAACCAAGGCTAGGTTCACGCCATCATCACAATGAGGTCCTTAGATACATTAAGCCCTCATGGGCAGTCATAGTTATCATCAGCAACTCCACACAGACTGGTGAATGCTTTACGGCAGAGACATTACGTCTGAGATACTATATTTCAAGACTAGATTGTTATGAGGCATAAGTCAACACTGGCCTTAAGGGGGTTAAAAGGATTGAAATGTACTAAAGATGCTGAAAATGATCCCCACATTTATACATTTCCATTCAGAGGGTAAGAAAAATCCTTTGCAGGACACACATAGGTCTCGATTTTACAAGCTTTCCAAATCATTTAATACTGTTAGAAACATTTCAAAATGACTTCTCTACAAACATTCTGCAGACAAGGCATAGGCAACCTTCGGCACGCCAGATATTTTGGACTAGACCTTCCATGATGCTTTGCCAGCATTAAGGTGGATGTAGTCCACAACATCTGGAGTGCCGAAGGTTGCTTACCCCTGTTGTAGACTCTGAAGATAAATCACTTGGGATACTTTCCTTACAGTGTTAAATCATTTTAAGCTCATTAAATCGCGGTCTTGTTTGGCTAATTTGCAAGGTTACATAAACTGGCATTTTGGCTTGTATGTGCCCTAAAATTATCTAACAGCCAACAGAAGCAAATTCGTGTATAAACCATTTTTCTATAAGAAGGCTGTGGTTTTGTCACCATTTCACGTTTAATTTTGGCTATTTTATCTCCCACAATTTATCAAACACATTTTACATTAAATTCCTCTTTAATATGTGCATTAGAAAACAGTGATAAATACAGCATGTTCCTTTAAAAAAAAAAAAAATAATAATAATAATTAATTTATCATTCACTAAACTGTTGATAACTGGCTCACAAATATGTTTCCAAAGCAGCAGAGTTGGAACAAACCTCTCGAATTTGGCTAAAATGTAGATATTTTTCCAACTCAAATATTTTGGCCTAACTTGTGCAAGTTGGCTGCCAACTGTTTAGTGAATAAACTTTATTAAAAAGAACATGATTGATTGTGAACAGATCAGCCATTTATTTAACAGTTCCTCTCTTTCATTTTGGTAGACAGGACATTTCTCTAGAACAGATAGAGGTCACGCATTGTCTGAGCCTTTTCGGATCACCTGTCATGCAGCCTGGTGCTGGTTTCCTAATGACGAAGCATTTAGCCTTGCAACAAACCTGATACAGTATATCAGATCAATCACTGCAAGGCCTTGCAGATGGATCCAGTGGCCAAAGGGTCGCTAAGGTAGTGAAGGTTTTTTTGTAGTGAAACTATAAGCATAAAAAAATCACACTGCTAATTTGAGATTATTATGGTCTGGTGGAGGCCAGTAAGAGTTTTTGCTCAGTTTTGACGACAAAGGGAGAAAGGAGTTTGGATGAATTATATTTAGCACAGAGAAGGGTATACTTGCACCACATACATACACACACACGCGCACACACACATACAGCACTGTGTACACTAGTGACACTATATACAAATAAAGACAGCACTGTATATACTACTGACATTATATACAAATAAATATGGCACTGCCCACACAATGCACAGCTAAGTATACCGCCACTACTGCACCAAAGATTGAGTTTGAACAGAGGGGAGCGCCTTACCCGCTTATAAATCTCTAGTTTACAGGAAAATTCATGGAGCAGAGAAAGTCCAATATGATTTTCTCACCCTTTAACAGACAGTGGAGGTAAAATGTGGAACATCCTTTGAAAAGGATTTGCAAAAACACGCCTATTGCTGGCTGAGGCTCATTAGGAATTGTAATTCCAATAAGGATAGCTAAGCTGAGCACCTCGTGAGAGGGGCGAGGAGATGTTCATGGCTAAGATGGCTGCATGCAAAAGAGGTGAGGGGAATGCTCCAAATTGGGCTGACTCTCTCACCTTCAAATAAGAGGTAACGAAGACAGACAGTTTCTTAATCTGCACCCGTAACTGAGGGGTTCCCTAAACGTTTATACCAAGAGAGGCAGTATAGTCAGCACCAAGCACCACTCACATTACATCCAAACATCCTGATACAGTCACTCACACAGACACATGACTAAAACTGGATCTTCCCCATGGGAGGGAGAAAACCCATGGTCTGAGCAGAACCGGAAATAGTGTTCACTACGTTAGATTCCTTATTGGAAGGGGAGACTGGTGTGCAACGCAGGGGCGAAAGAGAGGGGTTCGGGGTTGCGGAAGTAACAGGTCCCATACAAAAATATACCTAATAAAAACTAGACAAAGAAAATAAAAATAAATTAAAAATAGTTTGTCAAGAGGAGGAGTGAATAGTGAGCATGCGGCGGCTTTCTCGGGACATTCAATCACCGCACCACAAGGGGGAGCAGATAAAAGCTGGTCAGATGAAGAGGCTGGGGGGATGCTTACACAAAGGGGACCAGGGACAGATTCAGTTCCTCCCCCTCCTCTCTAATCCTAGTGATCCGGGGGGCCTGGCGTACTCTCAGTTGAACGATTCGGTCTTGTAGCTGGCGTGGGAGTCGCTGGTGAGTTGTGTGGTTTCTGTGGCAGAGCTGGGTTGTACCAGAACAGGGCCATCATTGGTGTCTGCTGAGAGACAGAACATGTCAGGATTAGGGAGGTGGGAAAAGAGAAGGACAGGAGAGGAGTGGGCGAAGCTCGAAGGACTACAGACAAGAGGTATCTGAGGGGGAAAAAAATAGTGAATAATAAAGCATAAACTAGGAAGTACTAAAAGTCACACTCACCCCTCTCGTCAGACTGTAGCTGTGCCTCCAGGTCTTCAGGTGACACATAGAAGTCTGGCTCGTCGCCCTCTGGTGGTCGCGGTTTGCACTTTCCACAGCAGCAATTACAGCAACAGCACAGACAACAGCAGCAGTAACAGCCGGTGATCAGTCCACAAAACATGAACAGTGCCTGGAGAAAGGGGGAGCCCACATTTATACCATGAATGACAATAGATATACACCCCATGGTTATCCACAGCACCGCAATATATGCTCCCACAGTCATTAGTCTGCAACACGTAAGTACATATCGCTCACTGCTATGGACAGCATCTAAATATATACATACTAAGCCATGTATAGCACCCCAAAACACAGATTACCATTAGAGAAGGAGCAGGGCAGAGACGTGGAGAGGGATAGGGGTGCAAATACATCTGTATCCAAACACAGCCCACCACATACACACCGCCCCTCCCCATTAATACAGGCCTGCATTCTCATACATACACACACACACACACCACCCCTCCCCATTAATACAACCCTACATTCACACACACATCGCCCCTTCCCATTAATATAACCCTGCATTCACACACACATCGCCCCTTCCCATTAATATAACCCTGCATTCACACACACACACACACACCACCCCTCCCCATTAATACAGCCCTGCATACACACACACACACACCACTCCTCCCCATTAATACAACCCTGCATTCACACACACACCACTCCTCCCCATTAATACAACCCTGCATTCACACACACACACACACCACCCCTCCCCATTAATACAACCCTGCATTCACACACACACACACCGCCCCTTCCCATTAATATAACCCTGCATTCACACACACACCACCCCATTAATACAACCCTGCATTCGCCCCTTCCCATTAACACAACCTTGCATTCACACACATCGCCCCTCCCCATTAATACAGCCCTGCATTCACACACACATCGCTCATCCCCATTAATACAGTCCAACATTTCACACACATTGCCCCTCCATTAATACAGCCCTGCATTCACACACAAATCGTCCCTCTGCACAAATGCGGCCCTGCATTCACACACATGGCCCCTCCCCATTAATACAGGCCTGCATTCACACACATTGCCCCTCCACATAAATGCAAACCTGCATTCACACACACACAAACCTATATTTAATATGCATCTACACATAATATGAAACTCCACACAAATACCCCTCTGTATTCACTGATTTAACACACATATACACCCCTGCCTTTACACTGTGGGTATTATAATCATTTCATCTAATTGAAGTGGTTATAGTGCCTAGAGTCCTCTGGCGCTTTCTCTCAATTCGGTGTTAAATCAATTTCGATCCGTTTAAAACTAAATAAGGCCGCCTACAGCCCACACCCTACTGGAGATTATACACTTCATTCTAGTCAATGATTTATACCAGAAATGGGCACTGTGATAGGCTGAATGTGGCCATCGAATAATCTAAGCCAATCACGGCCATTCATTGCTGCTCAGGCAAAGACTTCATTAGCTCAAGTAGCACAGGCGGTTAAAAACAGTTAAACGCTGTACGGAAGGACAGCACCAGGGGACTGCAGTCACTTTAAACACTTTCATACTTGCATCCACAGCTATATATACACGACTGCGCACATTTCACAGCTACTGCAATGTACCTACAGCTAAATGTTACCCACTACGTTTTCCAGCCATATATTACACCACAAATCAATACATTTCACAGTCATCGGTATATGGATCCCACAGTCATCTCTAGCTCAAACATTCTATACACTATGTATCAATATACCACCTTGCACGCATACAGCACTCCAACGAATGCATTCCAGAACTACAATACACATTAAATTCAGTTATAAAACTGCACATCAATGTAAAAATACCTCAATTATTCACTACACCATAACACAGCTCACAGTTATCTGTGGCATCCCAATATATATTCCCACAACAGAGAGTACCCTAATAAATATACAGCATTCCAGTATATCCCATTAATATATATAGCAGGTATACCCAGCACTATCCACCTCTCAGATCCTACAGCACTAACACCAAGTGTCCTCCTGGCACCCATCCTCACCTTGGCCCACCAACTGGATAGCACAAAGTATGTGTTGACGTTCTCCTCTCCGAACTGCTCGGCCACGTACAGGCCCAGGGATCCGTACTTGTCATAAATATTCCTTTTCGTGGCATCTGTCAGAATTCCGTGGGCGTTGTTGATCTCCTTGAATTTTTCAGATGCCTCAGGATTATCGGGGTTCTTGTCGGGGTGATACTTTAATGCCAACTTCCTGCGTGTACAAGGGATTGTGGGAGAAGGGATGCTCATTGGAGACATATCTACTGTCCTTGGCAGAACATTTACTAAACCACGCCCTACTACATACTAGAAAAGGAGGGGGGGGGGGGAAACAGGCAAAGGGCCCTTTACAACTCACCGGTAACATCTTTTGATGTCGTCGGACGTGGCATTCTTGTCCAACCCCAACACGGTGTATAAAGACTCCCCAGAGGTAGAGAGAGAGCGCTGCCGCTGATCCGCCATTTTGATTCACTGGGTGGAACAAAAGAGAAAAAAATATGGTTGGTAGAGTGTAATACACAGGAGAGTATGGAAAAGTAACAAAATAAGGTAAAAAAAAGTCTGTTCAGTTTGTTTTTGTGCATGTATAATTTGCTCGAAACCAGAAAGTGCCCACTTTTTGCCCAAAACAAATTGCATCTTCTACCCAGGGGACTGCTTCGTAGTGTGTCTGCACAGTTGTATATATGGCAAATTTATAATTTAAAGGAACATCCTGTTAAAGGATTATGGACTGCCTACTACCCCAAGCACCAGAGCAATCGCGCCATCCAAGAGTAGTCAAAGTCATTTAACAATGAAACTTACCTACACCCTTGGGTGCTCACCACATCCAGTATTTTCAGAGCTGGTGAGGCCATGTGCCAATGAATAAGCTGGATAGGTAGCACTATTGAAAAAAAGAAAAAAAAACGGACATCTGGCTTTTCCAGCTTTGAGAAAACCCGACAGGACCAAGGTAAGAGTCAAACTAGACTAAAAATAATTTGCTGATACTGCTGGGACAGTGCCAGGGCACCACTAGCTCTATAATCACTACAGGTGACTTTAAAGGGACACTATAGGCACTATGACAACTTTAGCTCATTCAAGTGGTCTGGGTGCACTGTCCCTATTGCACTTCATACTGCAATGTAAAACATTACAGATCCAGAGAGAGGAGTGGGGGGCAGAGGGGGAGATAGTGCCAGGAATACAGCTTTGTATTCCTCGCAATATAGTATCCCTTTATTAATGGCTACCTTGACACTACACAGGTCCAAAACCAAAACCTTAAAGATTTACTGAGCATCATGGGAAAGTTAAAGGGACACTATAGTCACCTGAACAACTTTTGCTTAATATTAATATTACCTTAATGTCTCAGTATACACCCAATATCATGGCAGAATATGAGGCAGGACAGGAAGGGGGCTGACTGACAATGAGGCTGGACAGGAGGGGGGCTGGCAGAATATAAGACTGGACAGGAGGGGGGCTGGCAGAATAGGAGGCTGGACAGGAGGGGGGCTGGCAGAATAGGAGGCTGGCAGAATATGAGGCTGGACAGGAGGGGGGCTGGCACAATATGAGGCTGGACAGGGAGGGGGCTGGCAGAATATGAGGCTGGCAGAATATGAGGCTGGACAGGAGGGGGCTGGCAGAATATGAGGCTGGACAGGAGGGCTGGCAGAATGAGGCTGGACAGGAGGGGGCTGGCAGAATGAGGCTGGACAGGAGGGGGGCTGGCAGAATATGAGGCTGGACAGGAGGGGGGCTGGCAGAATATGAGGCTGGACAGGAGGGGGGCTGGCAGAATATGAGGCTGGACAGGAAGGGGGCTGGCAGAATATGAGACTGGACAGGAGGGGGGCTGGCAGAATATGAGACTGGACAGTTTTGGTGTATAGAACATGCCCCTGCAGCCTCACTGCTCAATCCTCTGTCATTTAGAAGTTAAATCCCTTTGTTTATGAACCCTAGTCACAGCCTTGCACAGCCTTCCATAAACACTTCCTGTAAAGAGAGCCCTATTTAGGCTTTCTTTATTGCAAGTTCTGTTTAATTAGGATTTTCTTATCCCCTGCTATGTTAATAGCTTGCTAGACCCTGCAAGAGCCTCCTGTATGTGATTAAAGTTCAATTTAATGAAGTGGTCTGGGTGCCAGGTCCCTCTAGGATTAACCCCCTTTTTTTTTTTTTATATATATTATAAACATAGCAGTTTCGGAGGCTGGATTAACCCATTTATAAAACTGCTATGTTTATAAATGGGTTAATCCAGCCTCCAAATCCTCTAGTGGCTGTCTCATTGACAGCCGCTAGAGGCGCTTGCGTGCTTCTCACTGTGAAAATCACAGTGAGAAGATGCCAGCGTCCATAGGAAAGCATTATAAATGCTTTCCTATGAGACCGGCTGAATGCGCGCGCAGCTCTTGCTGCGCATGCGCATTCAGCCGAAGAGGAGGATCGGAGGCGGAGAGGAGGAGTAGAGCTCCCCGCCCGGCGCTGGAAAAAAGGTAAGTTTAACCCCTTTCCTCGCCATCCAGCCCGGCGGGAGGGGTACCCTGAGGGTGGGGGCACCCTCATGGCACTCTAGTGCCAGGAAAATGAGTATGTTTTCCTGGCACTATAGTGGTCCTTTAAGGTAAATTACATCTGTTTGAAAGTGAAACCATTTTTTTTTTGTTTTTTTTCAATGCAGGCTCTGTCAATCATAGCCAGGGGAGGTGTGGCTAGGGCTGCATAAACAGAAACAGTGACTTAACTCCTAAATGACAGTGAATTGAGCAGTGAAATTGCAGGGGAATGATCTATACACTAAAACTGCTTTATTTAGCTAAAGTAATTTAGGTGACTATAGTGTTCCTTTAAATTACAGTTTAAAGCAATATAATACGAAAACTGCATATCTGATCTTAAATTCCCACTATCCCTGGGCAGCTGCAATGGCTACAGTATTAATCAGCCCAAATACATAGAACAGGTAACTCTTTTTGGCTTCGGTTCCATATAATTTATGGAGCATGAAAAAATTAGCAATTTTATACACGTCAGTAGTTCTCTTTGTTAGTAGGTTTACACAAATATTACCTTAATGTCTCAGTATACACCCAATATCATTACAGAATATGAGGCTGGACAGGAAGGGGGCTGGCAGAATATAAGACTGGACAAGAGGGGGGCTGAATGACAATGAGGCTGGACAGGAGGGGGGCTGGCAGAATATGAGACTGGACAGGAGGGGGGCTGGCAGAATATGAGACTGGACAGGAGGGGGGGCTGGGAGAGACTGCTGGCAGGCTGATGAGAGGCTGGCAGCATATGAGGCTGGCAGCATATGAGCATAGCTGGCAGCATATGGCAGGCTGCTGGCTGGCAGCATGAGGCTGGCAGCATATGAGGCTGGACAGGAGGGGGGCTGGCAGAATATGAGGCTGGACAGGAGGGGGGCTGGCAGAATATGAGGCTGGACAGGAGGGGGGCTGGCAGAATATGAGGCAAGAGGACTGGCAGAATATGGGGCTCGACAGGAGGGGACTGGCAGAATATGAGACTTCACGTGGGAGGGCTGGCAGAATATAAAGAGACTGGACAGGAGGGACTGGCAGAATACAAGACTGGACAGAGGGGCTGGCAGAATACAGAGACTGGACAGGAGAGACTTGACTGACAAGAGGAGAAGCTGGACAGGAGAGGCAGCTGACTGACAAGGAGGCTGAGACAGGAGGAGCTGACTGACAAGGAGGCTGGACAGGAGGGGGGCTGACTGACAATGAGGCTGGACAGGAGGGGGGCTGGCAGAATATGAGACTGGACAGGAGGGGGGCTGGCAGAATATGAAGCTGGCAGAATATGAGGCTGGCAGCATATGAGGCTGGCAGCATATGAGGCTGGCAGCATATGAGGCTGGCAGCATATGAGGCTGGCAGCATATGAGGCTGGCAGCATATGAGGCTGGACAGGAGGGGGGCTGGCAGAATATGAGGCTGGACAGGAGGGGGGCTGGCAGAATATGAGGCTGGACAGGAGGGGGGCTGGCAGAATATGAGGCTGGACAGGAAGGGGGCTGGCAGAATATGAGACTGGACAGGAGGGGGGCTGGCAGAATATGAGACTGGACAGGAGGGGCTGGCAGAATATGAGACTGACAGGAGGGGACTGGCAGAATACAAGACTGACAGAGGGACTGGCAGAATACAAGACTGACAGGAGGGGGGCTGGCAGAATATGAGACTGACAGAGGGGCTGGCAGAATATGAGAGACTGACAGGAGGGGGCTGGCAGAATATGAGACTGGACAGAGGGGCTGGCAGAATATGAGACTGACAGGAGGGGGGGCTGGCAGAATATGAGACTGGACAGGAGGGCTGGTGAATATGAGGCTGGACAGGAAGGGGGCTGGCAGAATATAAGACTGGACAAGAGGGGGGCTGGCAGAATATGAGACTGGACAGGAGGGCTGGCAGAATATGAGACTGGACAGGAGGGGGGCTGGCAGAATATGAGACTGGACAGGAGGGGGCTGGCAGAATATGAGGCTGGGCAGGAGGGGCTGGCAGAATATGAGGCTGGGCAGGAGGGGCTGGCAGAATATGAGTCTGGGCAGGAGGGGGCTGACGGAATATAAGACTGGGCAGGAGGGGGGCTGACGGAATATGAGGCTGGGCAGGAGGGGGGCTGGCAGAGTATGAAGCTGGACAGGAAGGGGTGCTGGACAGGAAGGGGCTGTCGGAAGGGATGCTGTCTGAATGGGTGCTGGACAGGAGGGAGAACAGAAACAGGAAATTAATGGAGTCAGGCAGAGATCTAGTGATGTAGGTAGGGGTCTATATAGGAGGATAGACAAAAAGCAAATTGTTGCATAATTCAGTGCAGGGTGAAAGAAGTTGATGAATAGTAAGATGTCACTGACAGCAGTAGTAAGATAGCATGCAGGCCCTGGGCGTCATGTCACCCATACAACCCTCATACTGGAATTGTAAATCTTTCAGGAGTACTTGCTAATACAACCCCCCCACCATCTGCCGCTCTGTGTGCTGCCTGACGGCAAGGTCAGCGATCGGCTCCACAATGAGCAATCTAATAGTAAAATGCAATCAGAGGGTTAATTCTACAAAGCACTGGTAACGAGCACGCAGCACCGCACTGCACTGGCCAACATCATAACAAAACACACCGACTAATCAGGTTCAGAAAAATACAACAACACTGTAACCTGGAAAAACAAATTTTAACATTTTCCTGGCTGTTACAAGTAAATCAAAGAAGCCTTGGACCAGGATCAAAGCATGATAATTCACACCTAGGCCACAGCTATGTATCTGATTAGAGAAGAGGGATATAGTGTTCATGTTGATCTATGCGAGTAGTTCAGGTGAGGGCTGCGCTCTGTTTTAGAGAGTGCACTTGCAACACCATGTGTGTTTTACAATACATGCATGCAGTTCAGTGTGTGCAGGCCTGTTAGAGTCATGTAGGGT